TGGAAAGAACTAGATAAAACTTTACAATGCATAGTTTAATGAGATGTTTAATGTACTTTATATACACTTTCAGTAAGAAGACCGAACTTAACTTCATTTTCCTTCAAACAGACAACTCTGGTGCTTCCTCTGGGGCGAAAGCCCATCAGCCCTACTGCTTAATCCCTTCATGGACACAATACTGAGGGTGGCTGCAAACAAACATTTAATACACATCTAACAGTCTGAATTCCCAACAAACACACAACTGACCACAGGCATCCCTGTATATGCACACTCTTATTAACACACACTCACTAATTCCAGGGCCAAGAGGATTTAGAGAAGCTCACTCCACATACAAGTTGATCAACGTTCAGCAGCTTTTCTTTTTATTGACAGCACTGGAGAAGTATTGGGGATAATCCTCCATAAATGCTTCCCATGGAATTACAAAAGCAAAATTATATGTTATATTTTCAAAGGTCATTGCACATTCATGGTAAATCCCACCTTTCTATGCCTCCTCGCTTTGTAAGTCCTTTGTTTCTGGTCCATAAAAATCCTTTGTATGATGTATTCTTTTCATCTTCAATGAATTATTTCCCAACCTTGAATGTCCAATGCTGGTTGCGTACTTGTCAGTTGAAGAGATGTATCCTATCTACTTGCAGAAGTTCTTTTTCCAGTCTGTCTTTACTTGCATATCTCTTATGGAAAAGTTAAAAAATTCTCAGCAAGTTAAGCAAAAATGCAAGGTTCTTATTACATTAGAAGTGTACATGACTTTGGCCTAAAATAACTCTACATTAGTTCTTTATTAACTATTTTCTATGGAAGTGTTACTTTATTAAAATCTTAAAAATTAGAACTTCAAAGGAAAAACTTGTCCATACTAAGAAATCCAGGTTGAACTGGGAGCATACACGATTTAGCAGCTTTTTCAAGGTACAGTATTTAACGACTCACTTATCAAGTCCCATGGTCTGTCCTGGAGGGGCAGCTGGAGAGCTGCCTAGACAGAGATCAACCTGCCCAGTTTCCCCCGAGAAGTGCTTCCCTTCCCACCACACTGTGCTGGCCAGCCTGGCCACACTCCATCCTGCCCAGGGATGCCCCAGGGCTGAGCTGGGCAAATACACAGCAGGTTTTATATAAGAAAGGAACGAACTAAAAGCACAATCTTCACATCAAAGCTATATGACTGATGTGAGAAAAATAATTTCTAGAAAGGAAACTTATCTCAAGAATTTATGATGCACGCTAACTGCCATGGGAGACAATGAAAGCCTGGCCCTTTGGAAACTTTTTAGCAGGAAAAAACCACTATTATCACATGGAAAGAAGTAACACCCTTATTGGTAGTGCTGTCTGCCTCAGGATCATGTAATGCATGGCACAGTACAGTTAGGTCATGAGATGCAGGAAGGAAAGAGCAGTAACCTTTTTGATAATATAACAAGGATATAAATGTCATAAGGATATAAAGCTATTAAGAGAGCATCCAAAAAAGGGTCCTGAAGATGAGGAAAGGACAAGAGGGGAAGCAGTATGAGGAACAGTTGAGGTCAATTGGCTCGTTCAGCCTGGGGAAGAGGAGACTGAGGTCAGACCTCACCAGGGTCTGCAGCTTCCTCGCTGGGAAGCAGAGGGACAGCTCTGATCTCTGCTCTCTGTGAGCAGGGACAGGACCCCAGGGAACGGCTGGAGCTGTGTCAGGGCAGGGTTACAATGGATATCAGGAAAAGGTTCTTCCCTCAGAGTGTGGTGGGGCACTGAACAGTCTCCCCAGGGCAGTGGGCACGGTCCCAAAGCTACCAGAGCTCAAGGAATGTTTGGACAACACTCCCAGGGACGGGATGAGATTGTTGGGGTGTCCTGGGCAGGGCCAGGAGTTGGACTGGATGGTCCTTGTGGATAGCCTCCAATTCTGGGTATTCTGTAATTCTATGATTCCTAGACACTGGGAATGAAGATGGATACAATGCTTTGCCAGGAAAATAAATGCCATTTGAAGTGCCTTGAGTCGGTTGTGCACCCAGTTATACTGCACAAAATGAGACAAAATTCAGCTGCTCCGTTAGACAGAAAGCACAAAGAGCCATCTCCCCACATGAACCAGCACAACATCGAAAGCTGGCCCACAAGCTCTTCTCCATCTCCAAATGCAAACATCAGCAAACAGATGCTTGCTAAAGTCAAATGGATTTCAAGGCTCCCAGGATACAAATTACCACTAAGGAAACAAGCCAGGCCTTTGGAAACACTTCCTAGATGAATAAAAGTCTCTGCCGTACAGGGTTGTAATAGCTGAGCTTCTACACTGCTGCACAGCCCAGGGAGAGCAGGAGGAACTCCACAGTGTTCATGTACAGTCCAAAAGGTGGATACAGGGTTGGACCAAAGGCTTTCCTCAGGGGGATGATGCTAAAATGTGCTGTATTCTGGCACGTCAGTACTGCAGACCTCAGCAGGTCTGACAGAGCATGCAAGGAACAACCTACATCTGGCTATGACACAGAGGAATGGGAAGGGACATTGATTCCTTATGACAAGCAATTAGTGGTTAAAGGAAACCCAAGAACATGCCCCTTTGAGTGAAATGGAAAAGCAAAGTGATTTTGGCAACAGCAGCAGAACTCCAGGAATTAGGAGTGCTTTGTAACAGCAGCTGACAAGGACTAATTGCTGCCACTGGACTTGGGGGAAAATGAGAAAAAGAGTTTGGGTAACGTGGGAGTCCTGCAAGTACATAAACAGTCATCCCATGCTTTACCATCACCTTGCAACAAGCACGGAGGGCTGTTTTGTCAAAAAAAGTAAAACCAGCAAGAAAATCGTAGTGAGTCCTGCCGAGACACTGCCGCTCTGGTGGAACAGTTCCCTCCTGCTTGGTGGTTACTGCCAGCTCAGAGAAATCACTCTTCGGGAACTGGTACCTGTGTGAGCAACAGAAGGAACGTAAGAGCAGAGCCCCCAGCCCACCTCAGTGCTTTGCCTTCCTCCTCCTGACATCAGCTCTGATAACTGGATGCCTTGTGCAGCACTCAGGCTCAAAGAGCTCATTGCAGCCCCCATCCAGCACCCGGGGTCTTGGTGGAGAAGCAGAGACTAATTATCAGAAGTGACAGCAAAAGAAACACCTGCAGGCAAAGCACCTGTACAGGCCAATCTTCTCTGGCAGGATGGGGAGGCCCTGGCACAGGTTGCCCAGAGAAGCTGTGGCTGCCCCTGGATCCCTGGAAGTGTCCAAGGCCAGGTTGGACGGGGCTTGGAGCAACCTGGGCTAGTGGAAGGTGTCCCTGCCCATGGCAAGAGGTGGGACTGGATGGGCTTAAACAGAAACGAGGAAGAGAATTTGGTTCATATTCCTTTTCCACTATTAGACAATACAAATACAAGCATCAATAAATAATACTAACTCTTCTTCCAGAGACACAACTATTTGACATCACAAACACTTATAGATCTTATTCAAGCCAGAGAATTTCAAGAGGGCTTACTCTGCTCACGTAGCTGCTCTGGGATCTCAGTTGCATTCATTTGATTTTGCTAGAAATCTCTTTCAGAAGGCCTTTCAAATCAGACAGCTCCACAAAAAAAAAAAAAAAAAAAAAAAAAAAAAAAAAAAGGTTATTTATGTAAAGTCAGTCTAGCTCAAAGAAAGCAATGCTCATGAGTCATATGAGTAACAAGAAATTGCCTCTCCAAATATTACACTAAATGCAACAGCGCTTGAAAGGACACTTTCAATTAGAATCTTCATCAGGGCAAGTAATGCAGTGAGCCCTGATGCAGATGTATTTCAGCTGGTTAATAAAAACAGAAGCACAATATGGATATTACTTTTCAGTAGAGAATTAAGGTTATCACATCTCCTTTCAGTTTCAAGAGCATCACTAGCCACAGACTCACTCACCATTTCCATTTCAGTCTGGAAAGCAAGTTATTATTTTGCAGTCTAAATTATCTGACAGGAATCAAAAGATTTATTTTGAAGTATTATGTGGGTCTTTTTCCTCTTGGACTTCTAAAAAGTCTGTTCTGCATGCCACAGCAACTCCCTGCTTCAGAGGCCAAATACACAATTCAATCAAGCCTCAGAAAACACCCCTTGGGAAGGTGTTTTCAGTTTCACAGTCATAAAAATTATACCTGTATGACAATTCTGATAATGATGTGCTCTCTAGTAGACTGGTAGCTTTACGTTGGTTAATTACTTCATGCCTTCAGCACTAGAAGCAAAATCTGACAGACATGTTTGGGAAGGGGACACCTAATTACTTAATCACTATAAACTTTCTTTGTAGTAATGATTAGATGCATTGCCAAGTGTATCCTTTCATAAGCCACTGCTTCTTTTGTCATTCTTTGCAGTAAGCTTAGACACTCGTTCTTTGAAGGTAATGTCTGTGTTCCTTAAATCCATCCTCACTCCCAGGGCAAAACAGACTGGCAAAACAGTGGCCCATCACCTGCTTTACCAGAGACAATCACACTTCCCAGACCAATCTGAAGCACAAGTACCTTTGCATCCAGTTGTCTAAATCGATGCACCATCCTGAAAGCAGAAGGAGAACACAGAGGAAAAGGCTGAGTGCAGGTATTAGAGAAACCTTTGCTAACCACCACACTCCCCCCCAGTGCTCCATCCTCCCAAGGAGGTGGAGCTGCAGGTGATTGGCACTGCTTTTATGACAAGTCAATGAACTAACATATGAACTACTATTAATAGGATGCTGTTCCATTTTCCTTCTCAAGACACTTCTGCTTACAATACAAAAGCTACTTTTTGGGCATTTGTTTGGCTTCTTATGCAATGTTGGGTTACCTCTGGGTAGTCTTAACTTAAACACTTTTCTGTGGACAGCAATGTCCATGTGCAGGGGCACGGAAGAGTCTGGTCTGCCTTGCCCATTCTGATCAGCTCTTCCCTGCCATTTGATTTAGGGAAATACTCAAGCTGTTGGAAGTTAGCAACCAAGTTAAGCCATCACACAGAGCAGGTTACTGTTCTGTTTTCTAGCTTTATTTATGTTTTTTTTTCCTCTTAGACTATTACTCTGAAAACACTGAGACAGATCCCAAAGATAGTGTGTCACAAGCTGGCAGTTGCCAGCATAGTCCAAGTCCCCAGACTTCCAATACCATCATTCAAAAGAGCATCCTCCTCTCCCCAGAGGTCTTTCTGACTCATGTTACTAAGCACAGATCTCCATATGGATTAATGCTGTGGGAATGTTTGGTATTCCAGGTGTAATGCTAAGTATTCTCTGCTAACTGTGTCACAGAATTATTTAGGTTGGAAAAGATCCTCGAGTTCAACCCTTAACCCAGCACTGCCAAGGCCACCATCAAACCGTGTCTCCAAGTGCCATATCCACATGGCTTTTACATCCCCCCAGGGATGGGGACTCCACCAGTGCTCTGGGCAGCTGTGCCAGGGCTGGACAACCCTTTCAGTGAAGAAATTCTTCCTAATATCCAACCTGAACTTCTAATGTTACAAGAACAGTCAGCAATAGCACTGCTTTCCACAATGAGATCTCAAAACACCACAGGAAGACATTTTCTTCTCTGCAGCACATAAAAAAAGCCACCATTTCATTTCAAAAATTAAAAATAAAAAGCACATTTACACTGAGTTTATTACTTACTCATTAGTTTGTAAACATTTAGAGCTGCTGAAAACTTGCCTTCACTAGAAATATTCAACAGAAAATTAAGAGAAGGAAGACAAAGAAGGGCAGACGTACTCTTCTGATGAATCATTTGCTTTGGTATTGATTTTGACAAGGTAATTCTCCTTCATGACAGCTTCCCATGCCAGAATTTCATTGTCCTCGTTTCTTGAGCCTGAGAAATGTATTGGAAAAGAAAAAAAGTTAAATTTGTCTCTCTGATGCTAAGATGCAAAAAGGCTGGGTCAGTGCTTGCACTCAGAGGTTGATGACTCCCTTCTCCACATCCTGAACACTCACAGCCCCACTTCCCTCTTCCCTTCCTGCTCACTCCTGGCAACCAGAGTTGGCTAAAAAGAGAAAATATGGAGTTTAAAACAACAACAACAACAAAGCAAAACAAAAAAAAAACCAAACAAAAAACCAACCAACCAAAACAAAGAAAACAAAACAAAACCAAAAAACCCCCACACTTACAAGCTCCAGAAGTCTTTCTGGATTTTTTTTGAGTCTTAGTTAACACAGGTACCACTCCTTCAACAGGACATTCCAGAAGCTTCCTATGTGGATTTGAGCTTTCCCTTTGTTTCCACACTATCCCAATTGGAATGTTAAGAGTGAAATATGTTAAGAATCATGACTTTCCATTGAACTTTTAATATTTCAAAAAGATGAAGCACTGTCTTCTCTAAAAAGCGTCTCTGGGTTATGCTGTAAATTCAACAGTGACACAGGGCAACCCACTTGGAGACAGCAAAGTCCTCCAGGATAATACTCCAGCATTTAGTCCTGTTCCATTTGGACAGCACAAACCACATGGGATTTAATACAAAAATAAAATTAACTGAGACAAAAGAAGTCCAGAGCTGGAAAATGGTTGAAGTTTCATTTCCTCCAACCTCACCCAGCCCCTACTTGTTCTCCCAGATACTGACAAGCATTCAAACACCCAAATCCCAACCATTTCCATAAGAGTTAAGTGGGGAAGGCAGGATTTGGAAGCAGTCTAGACATTAATGTGTTCTCTCCATGCAGGTCTCAGCTCCTGTCATCAGCAAAAACCCGATGACATTCTGGCTCTAATTAACTCTTCCGTTTGCTTTCAGAACTGCAACATCAAGTGTGCATCCTTTGAGCAGAAATATCTGCCATCAAACACCCTCCCCTGCAAGGAAACCACCCAGTGATTTGGGCAGCCAAAATGATTTAGTCAGTGCTAAGGAACTTCATATCCCAAAGCAGGCTCTTCCTCCTGAATAACAAATTCAGCCTGCGCTGCAGGGAACAGGCAGGTTGCTGACGGGAGGGAATAAGCCTGTCAATTAATTCAACTTATCCTCTCCCAGCTGCTTCTGAATGGCACTTATGAAGAAAAAAGAAAACACTCCATTTCCTGGGGGAAAAAGCTTGTTAAAACAATTCCTATCTGTGCCTCTGACAGAGGAAATGAGGGAGAAATAGCTAAAGGACTGATTCGCCACATTTTTGAGGTCCTCTGCCCATTTGGCCACATCCAGAGGGCCAGGAAACTCTTTATTCTCTTTCTGTCACTCTCTAGCAAACAGAACAAATTAAAAGAAACACAAAACCACAACCCTGCAAAGCTGGAAAGCAGCACAGGCAGCCCTAAACTGATAGGATGAATCTGAAGTCTTCATTGATTTACACAGGAGGTAATTCTACCTCGAAATGCCTTGGACAAGAAAGCACTGGATAACTCTGACTTGAAGATTTCAATCTTACCCAAGAGATTTTCAGCAACACAGTGGGTTTGCTTATGACAGACAACATGAATGAGCTGCTTCTCCTTTCCAGCACAACCAGCTCATCCAAGGTCTACAGTGCCCCTGGAAATTTCCCAGCAAACGACCAACTGCCTGGATTAGGCACAGAATGCCAAGGAGAAACTGCGATGCACCTGCCACAGAGATGACTTCTGGGCAATAAGGACAAATCCAACTCACAACAAATTGATGGCTCTTTGCTTTCCTTCTTACAGCAGCACTTGAAACATTTCCTCATCACCATGAACATGTAGGCAAAGATGACGAAAGGGAAGGGGATAGTCAGGCGACTGCAGTATTCCTGGACCAGGAAGTAACGCTGGAACTTCCACACCTGGTCGTTGTTCTCTTGCACTGATCCAACCGTGTAACTAAAGGGTGAAGAAAGAGAAAATACCCCCAGGATTAGATATTCAAAGAGCCCCAACAGAGCCAAGGAATACAGCACGTCTGTGCTGCACCAGGGCAGGGTTTTATAAAGCCACAGAATCCCAGACTGGTTTAGGTTGGAAGGAACCTTAAAGCTCATCCAGTGCCACCCCCTGCCATGGGCAGGGACACCTTCCACTAGCCCAGGTTGCTCCAAGCCCTGTCCAACCTGGCCTTGGACACTTCCAGGGATCCAGGGGCAGCCACAGCTTCTCTGGGCAACCTGTGCCAGGGCCTCACACCCTCACAGCTGACAATTCCTTCCCACTATTCCATCTAACCCTGCCCTCTGGCAGTGGGAAGCCATTCCCTGTGTCCTCTCCCTCCATCCCTTGTCCCCAGTCCCTCTCCAGCTCTCCTGGAGCCCCTTTAGGCCCTGGAAGGGGCTCTCAGCTCTCCCTGGAGCCTTCTTTTCTCCAGGGGAACCCCCCCAGCTCTCCCAGCCTGGCTCCAGAGCAGAGGGGCTCCAGCCCTGGGAGCATCTCCATGGCCTCCTCTGAACTTGCTTCAGCAGCTCCACATTCTTCTGCTGGGGGCCCCAGTCATCCTGGAGCTGGTAATTTTTACTGACTAGGAAGTTATTTACTTCATTTTTCCTTTTTAGAGAGAAACTTGCAAATGTGAGGAACTAAGACAGCAGAAGGAAAAACCCTGAAGTTACAAATAAACTGGAAAAAATAGAATGAGGGAGAAAATACTCCATGTACTTTTAGTATCTCAGCTTTAGGTAATTTTCTTCCAGCCTAGACACGTGAGAACAGGATGCTTCCTCACAAGATACTGTGTCTCATTAATTCATCAGCTAAGTTGTTAGGAGAAAAAAAGAAAAAAAAAGACTAAAAATAGAACATTTACCAGAAAATGAAAAGCTCCTGAGATTTTTAGTAGAGGCACTATGGACACTCCAGGAATGGATCAAACCTACTGCACTAAGCACTGTATGAACCCAGCAATGCAACAAACCCAGGAGCAAACGGCTCGCAGGCTGTCTGACCTTTCAGTGTGACATTAAATGACAGATGAATGCTCTCATAATGTCTGTGCTGAGATCCCAATGGACCTTTCATGAGACAAGCCAAAACCTTCCCTGCTGGAAATTCTCCTTTGGTCTAGAATATAAATACAACTGGCAAAAACTAAGGGTTTTTTTTACTGGCATAACAGTATAAAGTAGAGCATTTACCACTAGGTGCTGCTAAAGTGAGTGTTCTAACAAATATCAGAGGTTTCTAAGGTAGACCTGGATTACTGCTACACTTTATTAATGTGAGTGGTTTCACCCTTTCTAAGGAACATAAGCACTGTTGTCTGTCACCAGGTCCTTGCAGGTTAGGAAAAGACATAGATGTGCTACACAGGTCCCAGCTGCATTGCCAAAAAATCACATTTCTGACTGTCTTTAGAGTCCAGCTCAACCTGGGCAGAAAGGTTCATTGCTGAGGGGAGTACACATCCTAAAGCTGGGGTGTTCTCAACTCACCACACTCACACATCCCAGGCCAGGAAACACTGGCAGTGTCATTCAGAAAGGAGATCCTCTTGAGGAACACCAAGAGTCCTCAGCAGCTCCTGTAAATACTCTTGTTGCCAAAGGAAATCCCTGCCAAGATCGTCACTGCCAAGGTACCATCAGAACACAAAAACAAACCTAGTGGTCCTCGAGAATGATGGCCAGGGTTGTGGTGCTTTAGTTATGCTGTAAGGGAGTGTAAAGCAGAAAAGGAGCAGGGCTGGGAAGTGGAACAGAGCCACAGCACCAATCCAACTACATGCTCAAGTAAGACCAGAGGGCCACACACTCCCCAAGTCTGATATGAAGGACTTCCCATGATTAACTCAACTCTGTGTCAGAGCCTGCACTGCAAACAACAAAGATTTCTGGAAGAAGCTGAGGCAAATGTTCCCTGCTCTTGCCAGTCTAGAGGTGATGGCACTTTTCAAGACAAAGTCCTTTTACACATCCCAAGGGGAGGGGGCCCACTGCCTGTGGTGTAAGTCTGAACAATAAAGAGCAGGTCCACCAGAGCAGTAGCAGGCCCATGCTCACCACACAGCAGTTCTGGTTAATAAAACCAGGGTCCTAAAAAGATGGTGATAACTCATTTATTCAGCCTAGCAAGGTCAGCTGAGCAGAAACTCACACTTGGTAAGGCACTGACCCAGGTACCACCCCCTGTGTGAACCACGGGGGTTTGTACCAAGCCACTGTGCACAGGACAGGCAGCAATCCCTCCCCAGGACACTGCACCAGCTTCCATCAGGCTGCTGTGAGAAATGCAGAGCCCAAGGGCTGGTTTCCTGCTGTTTTCCAGGACTCCATTCCCTCTCCCAGAGACACACTGGTCCAGAGATCCCAAGGAAGCCATCGCTCCTTTATTACGTACCCGAACATGGCCACGAGCAGGTTCACGAGGAGGATGTTGGTTGAGAGCATGTAAATGCAGACAAGGGGAATGGTGATCCACTCAGGAAAGCGGGGCTGGTTGTTGGCATCCAGCTCCACACACAGGGGCTTGGACTCGTTCCCAGAAAAGGTGCAGCGGTCAAAGTTGTAGGTGGTACCTCAGAGGGTGAGAGGGGAGAGCAAACTGTGAGTGCCCTCCTCCTCTTTCTGCTGGGCTCTGCTCTGACCACAGTTAGTGTGGCCTCCTCCCTCCCTGCCTTCCCATCAGACCTGGAGGCAAAGGGTCAACATGCAGATCAACACAGGCCTGGACAACCTCTGGAAGGACAGAGCCTTCCACCCACCCAGCAGAGACCCCCCAGGGGATAATTACCATCCACATCATCAGGGTACTGGCCAAACATGGCCAGGTAGGGCTCGTAGATGACCGATCGGAAGATCCACTCCCAGCGGTGCTCGTTCTTCCTCAGGATGCCTTGCCTGGCCACTCCAAAGGCCACCATCCACACAGCAAAGAGGAAGAGGAAGAAGAAGACGTCTATCATCTGAAAAAGGACAACAAGCATCGCTGCCCCACCGCACGTCTGTTCCAAGCCACGCGTGGCTTTTTGCTCCCACTTCCACCAACACACAGCCACAAATAACTGACCATTCCCACTCAGGGAACTTCAAAAAGTTCCATAAAAGTTCAAAAACCATAAAGGCATGGCACATTCTCTAACACAGGATATCCCCCTGGCACCAGACAGGCTCCACAAGAGCCAGAATCACATACAAGGGCTGTGGTTGCAGCCTCTGGAGCCCCATGTCAGGTGAAAGCAGTCACTCTTCCTGGAAACACCCCTCTGGATGGCTTAAACCAGCATTTATAGCCCATACACCCTGGTTAACAGTTTCTTGAATTTCTAGCTCTTAACAATGCACAGAGAACTGAAGGCTGGTAATACTGCTGCTGAGCTTCCCCAGTTACTACAGATCCACCTCCAGATCTGTCTTCCACTAGCCCCAAGCACCCTTCTTATCAGACTTCTTCAAAACTACTGTATCAGAGACTCCTCACCACCCTCTTCTCCAGGCACTTGTGTGATGGATGCAGTGGAAGACCAAAATCCTCTTCCTGTACCATTCAGCATCACTGTCTTGTTTGGGGAACACCCATGTGGGCAACAGGAGTGATGGGATACACCACTGAAACATCTGAGACATGGAAGCTACCAGGAGCAAAATCTCCTCTTCTGTTCTTCAGCCTGATCCTTATTCTTTCCCTTGGCACAGAAAAAAGCCCTGCTCTTAATTATGTCCTATTCAAACCTCAATACATCCTGTTCAGCAGAGCTAACTTGCTGCCATCACCAGAGAACACGGTGATTTCACTCTTGAGGGGAAAAAAAACCAAAATGAAAGCTGTTGCATCATTTATTTAGACTCTCTTGAATAGCTGCCAGAATCTTACCATCCTCTGCAGCATAATAATTTTGGGTCCTAGATTCCTGCTAACTGTGAAAATATGGATCAGCCTCAGAGTAAAAACTATGTAGTCCAAACAGAAAATGACTCTCCCGGAATACCAAGAGCTTTCATCAGAGTGAAGCCTGACGGAGACAGTAAAAGAAAATGAAGACAAGTGTTGGGTGAAACATGCAGAAATCAGGTAGAAACACAAGGAAACACTGAAATGGAGAGCGAAAAGTGAGTTAATTGGAAAGCAGAGCCCTCTCCCACATGATGACAGAAGTGTTTAATGCACACCTTGTTTACACCCTTCCAGCCTTCCCTGAATCATCCCTGCAGCTCCTCTTACATTCAAAACTGGTAACAGCAAAGAAATTTGTACCTTTAGCTACTCCCACAGCCCTCCAAAACCACCACAGTGCACCGACCCCTCTGCTGCACTGAGGTACCAGCAATAGCCTACAGCTGAATGAACAATTAGCCTGGAAAAAGTGTTTGCATCATTTCTTTGCCATGGTTGTTAACTCATCCCATCATGTAAGACAGCTTCTGGGAGATAACAACACTCTTAGACTGTTAGAGGGACAGTCACAGTTCCCTTAAATACAGCACACTGAAGCTCAAAGAGTCCAGACTGCCAGACTAAGTAGTCAGAAACAGAAGCCAGGGAAAGTCCCAAAGATATCCCGAGGTTTTTTGGGTTTTTTTTGAGTTAAGACTTGGCAGTATTTGGGGCCTTCACAAAGAACAGGGAGTTTCACAAACACATTGTTCCCCAGAATCTCATTACACGTAGTCAAAACCCACAAAGGAAGCCAAGCCGTAACACAGCCACAAGAGAAGGTACCACTCACCTGAACACAATCCCTGCTATGAAGTAGAAGATTGCCAGCGTATCCATAACATTCCACAGATCTGAGAAATACTTACTGCCATTCATGTACCACTGGGAAGGAAAAAGAACAGAAAGTAACCCCCAAACAACACAATTTCCTTGCCCAATTTTTTTTTAGTTGGTCACACAATAGGTGCACCAGAGTTCAGATTGCTTTTAATTTCTCCCATAAGAGGGGGTTTTATATATCCAGCAATGCCAGAAATTACTGGCCACCTGTTTTCAGAATCTGGGTGTGACCCATCAAGAGCAATGAAACACTGAGGGGACACAGGGGGGTCACTTAAGGGTAGCTGATGAATTCTGGCTTCTCTTCTTTCACAGAGGTCATACAGGAACCTGTCCCTGGCTACATGCACATGCTTTGGATCAAAGATGCAGACTGAACTTATTCCTTTCATGACCTGACTCTCCATTTTTGACTTGCAAGTCTAGTGAGAATCTCTGCCCACTCCCAGACTAACTGGCACTGCAGCCTGGATCCAAAGTTTCTGCAAGAACCAACGTCCTGAATCAGTTCAGAGATGACTCATGAGGAAAGAAGTTTAATCAGGAGAAAGCTCTGCCAGGTTGTAGAAATAAACTGTGTCCCTGATCATAATTCCTTTTAATTTTTATTGAAATGATCAAAGTTTAAGAGAGTACTTGGTCAGTGAATCTAACTGGCATATCCAAGGAAAGCGATTCTGCTCTCAGTACCACTGTGGGACACAGAGATCAAGAGGAGTGTTCTCCTAGGTGGAAAAGAAGCTCTTAAGTAGAAAGCTCCACTTTACTATTCCAATTGCACAATTGCATTTCCTTCATGTGATGGGATGCACAGCTAAAATGGACAGGGTGGCAGCTGCCAGGGTGCCAGGCTCAGGAAATACCTTTGAAATTCATGCCAGGCAGTATTTCAGCATCTCAGGGGACACACAGCCCTTTCTTACTACTTAAGGCACCAAAGGCTGAGCACTGAGTGGGGACAGCACGTCTCACACCCGTGACATCAGGCTGTCTCTGCCCAGTAACTCCCTAAATCAAACAGAACAACCGAGACTGCGGTGCAGGTCAGTCCTCAGATTCCAAGCAGTTCCCACTGCTGGGGCTTCACATGCACAGAGGTTCTGCCCAGACTCCTCCTCTGTCTGAGAAAACGGAGCTTTCCTGCACACCCCACCAGTCTACCCACTCACCTGGCTGGAGGCTAAATCCATGTGGCTACAGGCACAGCAGGGAAAAGGCCCCTCCGATCCCACTATGGCCGTGACAGCTCTAAACAGGACATGAGAGAGCAGCTCCAGCCAGTTACTCATCTCTGGGACCAGCAGAACTGAAAACAGGGCTGAGCCAGTGGCTCACAGATCAGATACAGTTCAGTTCTCCTGCCTTAAGTCTGGAACCATGTCTAGTAGCTGTCACTTCCAAAGCCACCCCGCTCTCCGACCAGAGGGCTGATTTCTCCCCAAAACTGGTTATCCAACTGCAGCAGCTACAGTGGCAACCCAGCCAACATTACTCTTGCTTTTCCTTGGATGTGAAAACAAAATTTGGCACATCCCTAGCTTTTTTTTTTTTCTTTTAAATATTAAGGACACAAATACTATTTTGATGCAGAGTTAGACTAATCCACACACAATGTATCTTGGAGGAAGCCAGGGAGTAATTTCCCTGAGAAGCTTAGAGGATTGAAACACTTTTCTGTGTTCTGCTCCTTGGCAGAACAGCTTTGAAGTCAGGACACTGGCTTGAGATAACTAAACCTTCACCAAAGTCTCTGTTTTAGCTGCTTCTCCTCCCACAGCCAAATTGGCCACCAGTTACTAATAGGATTACTGAGATCTGCAGCTGTTCTACCTGCTCAGGGTGGCAAGAAAAAGGGACATTGGTAGGAATTTAAGGTTTCTATCCCTAAGGTATTTCCCCAGGACTTTTGCTGGGTACACACAGGAAGTGCAAGGACAGGTCCAGAGACACCAGAACCTAAATCAGCAGAAACAAACACTCCATTAGTGTTTTCATTGCAAAAGAGTCTTGTACTTCTCCCCCACTTTCCTTAGCAAGTAAACTTGACATAAACAAGGTTCCACCTTAACTATTAAAAAGGGAAAAGACCACAATAACATCAACATCAGAAGTGTCATCTGAGTTCATGTAAAAAGTGTTATTGCAGGGTGGGAGGATCCAGCAGATCACCCACAAACACTAGTGCCTTACAGGAGTCAGAAAACAGCACTGCACCAAACCACACACCCACCCACTGCTCTTCTGATTTCCCCTGCATGTTCCCACTGCTCTGAACACTGACTGGCAGAGAACAGCTTGCCCAAAACCCAACCATTTCATGTGTCCCCTTACATATGAATTGAGAAGATACCAGTATGTGGCTGGCTATAAAGGCTGTCCTGCATGCTGTTCCCATACCACAGCTAATCTGGTCCTACATCAAACTAGTAATAACTGTACAGATGATTAAAAGCTAAACAGAAATACGAAAAGGGGTGGGATGTGGAGAAGGGAAGCTGGGATCACTTGATCTAGAGGTATGCACCCAGATAAATGTGCTTAATCTAACCCCTTATTCTCAACTGCTTTGGCAAGCCAAGCATTCCTGACAAATATCTGCACTGGTATTGGCTTATCCACACACTCCTCCTGGTGCATGGACGCTGCAGCCACTGGGGCACAAGTAGGAATTAAATATGAGAGAAAAAAAAAAATATTCATTGAGCCTTGAGCTGCCTGACCATCACCCCACCCCCCCCCCCCCCCAGAAGTCCCCCTGTCCCTGAGCACCAGCCTGTGCTGCCTTACACTACTCGGAGGGGGGAAACCACAGGCCTTGGCTCTAACACTGAACACTTGGGTTGCAAACGCTGCCTACTTGTCTCACTTCATCACAAAGCAGAATGAAGACCAGCACGTAAAGGATGATCTCCAGGGCAGTGGGTTCCTTCTGGAAATCCATAAGCAACACGTAGGCGAAGAGCAACAGGAAAGCGATGTAGAAGATGACATTCCAGGAGAAGACCACAAAGGGGGAGGTGAAGAAAGACACGTAATACAAGAAGAGCTTCTTACTCCTCTCCACAGGCTTTTTTCTGAGGGATTAAAAGAGGGAAAAGGTCTCAAAGCATAGCTTTTATGCCTGGGAACACTTGTGTTCTTCAAAGCAAAAATGAGAAAGGTGCAAAGTCTAGCATGGGATGTTACTTTAGAGGTGAAGCCATCCTGCATCCACTGACCTCAGGCACTCCAGGAAACTGGTACATCTTCCAGGCCAGGCTGGAGGGCCTTGGAGCAACCTGGGCTAGTGGAAGGTGTCCCTGCCCATGGCAGGAGGTGAAATGAGATGGGCTTTAAGGTCCCTTCCCACCCAAACCAGTCTGGGATTTTGCAATCTTAACTCCAAGATCAGAATGAAGACAAACTGTTAAAAGCTTATTCAAGCTTTTAATATCTTTGAGACTGACTGAACATTAGAACAGGTTTTCCAGGGGGGCTGTGGAGTCTCCATCCCTGCAGATACTCAAAACCCAACTGGACACAGACCTGGGCAACCTGTTCCAGCTGACCCAGTTTGAGCACAGGGTTGGACTGGGTGATCTCCTTCCAGCCTGAACTGCCCTAGGACTCTACAATTAATTGACTTGCTTGCTTTCTGCTAATGAGAAGCCAGTTAATTACCTGAATGAGATGAAACCACAGCCTATTAAAGGGAAAAAGAACAGGCACAGTATGATCTTCCAGTTCTTGGTGTCTCTTGAAATCTCTCCATACCACTGCTTGGAAAGGAAATTCTGCAGGGAGGAAGAAAACGTTCTCATTAGTTCTGACAGCAACAAAACAACCTAGAAGTGCTATTAAAAAACATCTGATTTAGTAAAAAAAACCCCAAACTTCGAGTTTTCATCAAAATACTTGAGATTTCTGTTTCAACAATAAAGAAAGTTATCTGCATCAGTAACCATGTGCCGGGTCCTTAGTCCAGTCATTCTCCATCTGTGTGATGAGGAGTTAAAAGTGAGGTTGAGAGCAGGACTAGACCTGATTGATAAGACACCTTTTATGTAATGCCCATCCACACCAGGCATTAAATCCACACTGTGCACACACAGAGCTGTGCCAAGGCAGAAATCACTTCAGGCAGTCTCTACCCCTCCAGCTCATTATGATTTACAACTTTAAATCAAGATTCTTCCCTCCTGACTTAGCACTTGTGGGTAAATCAGCCCCCTCCTATTTCCACAGGAGGAGCCACACCCGCGGTCAAGTCCCAGGAGTTACAGCCACCTGAGCACCTCCTGTGCACTGCCATTACCTGCACACCTGGCTGGGCAATGAACTGCTGGTCTCTGGCTTCCACTGCCAGCTCCAGACAGTTGCTCTCTCCCCAGGCTTCACAGGAATAAGTCAGCAGCTGCTCGGCCAGATCTTCGTCACTGCTGTAGCACTCGGTGAACAGCTCTGCAGGGAACAGGCAGCCCCACACTGAGATCCAGCTTCCATTTCCCACCAACTTGGGTGCAATTGTCTTCAGTATAACATTTGTAGTATCAGAGCATGCAGACACAAGAACTCCTTTCACGTTTTCACCACTGTAGAACGACGTGTGCATTGCTTTACAAACCCACTTGCACATGTGTGGATGGAAAACTGTAACACAATTAGCTCACACAAGAAACAGCATTAGGTTGAGATCTGCACTAAAAAATAGAGTAAAAAATACAATCTTCCCCTTAAATGACTTGGTATGTCTACCTATTTCTTCTTCTTTTCTTAAATTCCATTTGGCACTGATCTAATGAATTACAGCCACTCCCATATTAAGGGCTGGAAAAGGTCAGAATCCGATGCTTTTTCACTGGGAAATGCTTTGTTCCCCCATTCACTCCTCAGTGTCTTGTTAAATCAGACCTGAGGGATGTAGATACTTGCAAGAAAGTTTATTTAAGCAGGTTTTGCCCTGTGGAGTAGGAGATGCTTTCTGGTAATGAGCAAAATATTTTCAGTGTGGCCTCGTGCCACTCCTTATAGAATCACAAAACCATTTAGGTTGGAAAAGACCTCTAAGATCATTGACTCCAATCATTAGCCCAACACTGCCAAGCCCACCAACAAACCATGTCCCCTAGCACCATAAAACAATATCCATCCGTGGAGATTTTCAAGATGTGGCTAAACAAGGCCATGACTGAACTGATGTAGTCCTGTGGTAACACCACCTCAATGAAAAGGTTGGACTGGAGGCCTCCAGAAGCTCTTCCAGCAACATTTCTATGGTCTCCTATTCAACCTTCCTATTTTTCCTACTCAGCTACTTCATATCACCCCATTTACCTGTCCCCTGCTCTGACTCAGGGTGGTGACACACCTTTTTCTGCACCAGGCAAGACAACGAGGCCATAACCCCTAATCAAGCCCCAGAGGCAACACTGCTCTATCTCCCCCCACGTTTAGGAGCCAAGATCCTGCACCACAGGATCCTGTTATCTTAGAATAAGGGATATGATTTTGCAGTTCAGAATTTAGGAATCCAACATACTATTTATCTGCACTTTATTCTCACTCCCCAAAAGTGCTCCCGCAAATTTGAAGGGTGGCTTTTCCCAACCTGAATATTACACCAGTGCTCACATGGAAAGCTTCTCTTTCTCCATATTCTCCCCCCTGTTTGTGGGCACCCATCTTCAGCCTTGCCATTAGAGTAAAGCAGCTTTTATTACCCCACAGAAGAAATTCTCTACCCCAAAAAACCCCACCCCTCAACACCCACTTCTGGAGGCAAGCTGTTCAGACAGGACACAAGCTGTTCAGACAGGACACACAGTTTCTACTGAGAACAGACGGTGTAGAAGAGATTTCCAAGCAGCAGAAACGCGTGTTGACACTAAAGAAAAATATTTAATGTTGGATATCTAGTTTTCAATTCCCTGATCTCTGACCCCTCCTACTAAATTTCTAAAGAACTCAGAGAGAAGGCACTTACCCACTGCTCTTGTCTCATACTCATTAGCGAGTTCCTCAGACTCACCAGCAGCATTTATATCATTCTTCACCTTGGCCAAGCTTTTCAGGAGCTTGCTGGCCCCAAGGGCTGCCAAAGTGCAGCCTCTGGTCTGTGGAGAGAGAGAGTCAAGTCATGCAAATCCCTCTGTGAAGGAAACATGATCATAGAATCATAGAACCAGAGTGGTTTGGGTTGGAAAGGACCTTAATGACCATCTCGTCCCAAACCCCTGCCATGGGCAGGGTCACCTTCCTCTAAACCAGGTGGTCTGTGATTCTGTGATCATTAAATATCCTGTCTAATCCAAATTAGAAATGGATTTCAATCGAACACCTGGAACCAGAACCCACCCATGTTGTGGAACAGGTGGGAACTCGGCATCCAAGCTTGAGCACAGATGAAGACATACAATTGGCTTGGCCTGCTGACTCACACATGACCCTAAGAAATGACCACACCAAACTCAAAATGGGCAATGTTAAACCAACTTAGAGTCACCTAGCAATTATGTCTTCTGGTTTTGTGTTTGAAGATGGATCCAGAGCCTTCAGAGGCCTATAAACCAAAGACAGAGAACCCCGTTGTAAGGAATACAGGAGAATTCAACTTACTTGCTCCCAAATGACTTTAGACAACTCTTTCTTGTTCTGAAGGACTGACCAAATAAACAGAGCTTGTAATGGGTGCCTTGTGATAGGACACTCCTCCTGAAAGAGAGAGCAACAATCCCTCACACCTAAGTTCACCAAACTGTTCTCAACTAGAACAAATCCAAGCCTGCCACTCTCTTGTTTTCACATTTTCTTCCTTTTACAGCCAGCCCACCGACCCTCTCTCTCAGCTCTCTGCCACTTGTCACACACTGCTGTGAGTTAGGTTACATTTGGTATTTATAAAGCCTTAAATCAGTCTCCCTGTTTTCCCAAAGGTGACATTAAAGGACATTTAAGTCAAAGTCACTTCCTGCATTAACCAATGCAGTTGAGATAACCTCATTCCCAGTGGGATCCACCACTTACTGAGAGGTGTATCTCCATCTCATCCTTGCTGGTTTTGTAATCCCTCTTGACCCCTCTTCGGAAGTCCTCAACCATCTTCCACACGAAGGTGAGGAGGGCATCGTTGTAGGAGTTCTTGGCGATCTGCAGGTTCTTGAACACCAGGCTGCTGAAGTTGTTGGTGTACAGCTCTCTCAGGACCTCTGTGGTGAGGAACTTGCGCAGATTCAAGCCGTTTTCCAGGAACAACCGGACAAATTTGGGCCTGTCCTTCACCAGGGCTGTGAACATCACATCCTGTAGGTCAGCAGACTAGGAGGAAATGGGAAAGCAATATTAGGGAGCATGTGAGCCATGCAAAGTTCACCTAAGGCCTGACACGTGGCTTACTCACCTTTTCACCAGAACCAGCTTTTTTCTGCATGCAATTGCCTTTGTTGGATGGCCCAGAGCACTTTTGGCATGGGCAGATCACCTTTGCAGTGACCATAGAATCCATAGAATAGGATACCCTGAGCTGGAAGGGACCATCGAGGATTGAGTCCAACCCTTAGCTCTGTCCAGGACACCCCAAGAATCCCACGCTGCACCTGAGAGCGTTGTCCAAACGCTCCTTGAGCTCTGGCAGCCTTGGGATGCCCCTCTTCCCACAGCCCCCTGTGTCCCACTCCCTGTACTCACACAGGAGGGGTTTGTACCTCCCAGTTCCGGTCGTTGGTGAAGATCTCATCGCTGGCCAGGTCCAGCTGGTTCCACTCCAGCAGCAGCTTCAGCTGCCCGTTCCAGTTATCCCTGTCGTGTTCGTTGGTGCTGAAAGCTGCAGAGGGGGAACGACCTCTAGGTAAAGACCAGAGAGCTTCCTGGCATGATTACCTCTGCTTCTCACGCCACCTGACAAGACTGTTTCCAAGTGTCTTTCCCGTCTTCCTGAAAGGCTTTCAGAGGATGCTGGAGGCTCAAAGACATACATGTGGTCTGACACAGGCCACAGAAGAGCTGCCAGGAACACTTCATAACCAAAATCAACACAAGTGTCGTGCAGGACACAACGACTCTCCTTCAGGTTCCTCAGTGTCCTGCAAAAGGATTCCCAATGGGGCCCTACCAGCATCCCCAGAGCTCTCCTAAATCCTTTCCCAATTACCTGGCTTGGATCTCACCCACACTAACAGATCCCACCATGTTGCTGTAGCCTGCCTACACCACTCCAGATGAAGACAAGCAGGAGTGTAGAGAGATGGCACTGCTCTAAGGAAAACTGTTCTAGAAAATAAGTAACCATCTTTTTCCATTTATTTTAAAAACCCAAACAAACTCCAACCAGGAAAAACAATTACTTGCCTTTGTACAGAGCAAAGGAAATGGCATTGCTCACAATTTCATCTCCAGCTTCTTCTATTTTGATCACTGTCAGTAAATGAGGGCTCTCAAGGACTTCTTTGATCTACAAAAAGAAAAAGTTCCATTTCAAAGCAATCAAGGCTGTCTAGTAGTTGATCTCCTAGAGTATTTTAAAAAGAAATCTCCCACCACATTGTGACAAAGCTGCTTCTCATCAGTCTCGTTTCCACCAATAGTTAAAATTTAAATAAGCCCAAATACAAGTAGATAATGAGATTTATTTTGAAGTCACCGAAGTACAAGATTAATTATCCTCTGAACATACAGCAAATAACTGATTCCCCTATGCAGAACAAAAAGATATAATCTCAGTAATTAGAAGCTACTTATCAAGTAAAAAAGAAGATTGTGAAGCACAAGTTTCAACAAATGTCAAACAATTTGTTAGAGAGTAGTTTCTACCTCCTCATGCTTTGTCAAAAACGGAGATAATTTCTCACATAATGAAGCTTTATGGAGTTACTTCCATTCTAGCACACAGACAAAAAATCTTGACCACTCCTGACTGTAGGAGTAGAGCTTTAGGAAGAGTTTGTAACGGGATAGCTGGAAACTGTTTTCTGCCTAAAAGGTAACTCTTTCTCAAAGGTAGTTTCAATGCTGAAAGCAGCCTCAGATTTTTCAGGAGCTGCACTTTCTTCTGTCCCTATTAAGGAGGGCAGAAGTATAAGAACAGGTCCACCTGAGGGTCAGGTAACCAGAGGCACAACAGGTTCCTGAGACTGGGCCAAGCAACCCAAAGCAGCAGGTGCTCTCCTCGCTTCTTCAGTCTTCCCAGCCTCCAGAAAACTCTTGTAATTAACAGTCACACATGGGATCACAATGGTGACTACATCCTAAAGGCTCTACCTCTGGTCCAAGAGGTAAAAAAAGGGTAAAAGAAGAATGTTTTGGTGTATATTCAGTGATGTGTCTTCAACTGCATTCCATGTACACAGAGCCAGTAAATCAACCTAACAGAGTCACAGTGGAGATGTGGTGAAACACTGCCCCAGTAAGCCTCTAGCCCTAAACATCCCACTCCTGGTGGGAAATGCCTCCTGCCCCATGGTTTTCTTCCTGCGTGCCTTAATAAAGGAGCTTAGGGAAGAAATGACAGAATCCTGAAGTAGAATCACTGCAATTTGAAAGCCTGTGCAGCAGCAGCAATAACCCTTTCTCTCTGAGCAATTCTGGAACTGCAACACCAACCAGCTCATCAGCCAGGAGACACATCCAGCAGTCAGTGCTTCAGAGGAAGCACAAGCGTCCAGGAGCAGACAGTCACAAAACATCTGGCCTTAGCTCTCCTGGGTCTAGACATGTGCTGACTTTCCAAAAGACTGGGGCCCCCCACCTCCTTGTATTCTGATCCCTGAGAGAATTTTCCTTTTCTTTAAATCCCCGTGGACATAACATGGCAGGGAGCCCTGCACATCCCACAGGTACCACCAGATATCCCCGGATCCCTCTGCCCTTCTCCCGCTTTCAGCTCCCACAGCCCCACTCACTTACCCACTTGATCCAGCTTTCAGTCTCCTCTTCCGAGAGCCTGGAGATGGTGCGGGGCAGGAACCTGAGCAAGCTCTCCTTGACACAGGAGGAAGCAGGAGTGCCTTCTGCCTCCACCAGGCTCGCAATGACATCGGCGATCCGGCCAGAGCCCTCCACCACCACACAGGGAATCTTACTCTTGATGGCCACGTTGATGGACTGAGGAGGCAGAGAGGGAGAGGGGATCACCTGAAGCACGACTGTGTTATTAGAGCCTGCTACTGAGTAAGAAAGCCTGGAAAGCAACAGAAACCCACAGTCCAGAAGAGTATTTTTATTACTGTCCACTCATATATTACCAATGACAAGTCTTTAAAACATCACCCATCTAATGACAGAGGGCTGCAAGAAGTCCCACAGAAACTGAGGGGCAGACATCACCATCTGCCAGATTTTCATAAGAGTCACAGGATGTTTTGAGTTGGAAGGGACCCTGAAGACCACCTCATTCCAACTCCTGCCATGGGCAGGGACACCTTCCACTAGACCAGGCTGCTCAGCTTTTGAGTTGATGGGCAAATCAGGACAACTGACAAGTGGAAATGGCATTCAGGTCACACAACACTGGCCAGCTCCAGTCACTGCTGGTTATGGCACAGCACTGCCCAGGTAACACCACAGCTGAGAGCAAGAGCTCTGGATTTACCTGCAGCAGTGTTTACAGAGCGCTACTTCTGTAGCACCAACAGAACATCGAACTCTGATGTTACTGAAAGTCTCCAAGTAGCCACTTGCGTGATTTCTCACACAGCAGTGCTGTACATGGACTAACAGCAAGAAAAAAAGCTTGTTGAAATCACAATGGAAGGACCCTTATCCCTGTTGCAAAGACCACAACAGCAAACATTGATTTCATTTGCGTCACTACACTGAAAACAGACTCACTGTCTGCCAGTAAACTGTACAAGGGGACTCCATGCAAGTTATCATCAAGCACTGGAAAGACACATTAGCAATGAGACAGTTTTCTGAGAACCAAAAAAAGAAAAATAAAAAAAAAAAATCAACTTGTAGTCATCAAAACCCCAGGCAAGTTCCTCCTGTCAGGTGGGGAGCAGGTCTGTGACAAAGGCAAGGTGTTTTTTCTTACCAACTACATCAGAGTGGTTTTCTAAAGAAGGGTTCAGCTAAAGTGCATGTTTTACATCACAGGGAGTTTAAAACAGAAGCTTGGAACAGTTATATTTCTCCTCTGCTAAAGCTGATTCTTGTCATCACTCACAGAAGCTGAGAAAGAGGGAGCCTTTCCCTGCCAGCACTGCTAAGTTTGAGGTCTGGCTAGGACAGACCCCCACAGCATGGAGCCTGCTGTGTCATTTGGGCTGATCACAGACCCAATTTACTCCTTCAGAAAAGGTCTTCACCTACAAATGAGCAAGAAGGCAGGCAAGGGTGTCTCAGTGCACTCAGTGTCACTGAGAAATAAAACTCAGGATAAGAGGATACGGCCCCACGTTGCACCAGGGGAGGATGAGGCTGGACATTAGGAAAACATTCTTCACTGAAAGGGTTGTCAAGCACTGGAACAGGCTGCTTAGGGAAGTGGCAGAGTCACCATCCCTGGAAGTGTTCAAAACTGTGTGGATATGGCACGTGAGGATATGGTTTGGTGGTGAACACGATGGTGCTACATTGTTGGACTTGATGATCTCACAGGTCTTTTCCAACCGTGATTCTACTAAATAGCCAAGAGACTGGCATGGGTACTTAACTGAATCATCATACAGTTACTTTCCAGAGGAACTTCTTGCTAGGAATGATGCATTTGATTTAACAAGGCTTTCACTCATTCTGACCAGTCACTAAGTCTGTGTTACATGTCACTGCTTAACAGTGGGTCTGAGGTCTCTTTATAACATATGTGTAACTCCATGGCACATAGAGTCAGTTCCTTCAGTGATGGCCAAATCCTCTCTTTAAACATCAGCAATTTAGAGCTAAAAGAAGATGGACACATTCAACACATCCTTTTGAGGACAGCTTTCCCCTAAAACCTGAATGGGTCCTTCATTTCATCTCAGGACCTCTGAATAACACTCTGCATGCACATTCCCCTACAACCTATCTGTGGGAAAGCAAAAATTAACCATGTGAATGGAACCAGAACACCCAGGAAACGTACAGGAAGGGCTGGGATAACTGAAATTTCACACAGTGGTTCAGACTAATTGATTAACATCAGCAGTGAAGTGGTAGCACACCTGCCAAGCAAAATAGCTTCATTAACTTCAATATTAACAGGAGAATAGAAAAGTACCAAGATCACCTTTCAAACAACAAAAAAAAAATCATAAATATCAGTCTGCTTCAATTTTGCTTTCTTCACAGTAAATAAGTAAAAGAAATAAACTTACTTTCAAAGTCTCTTTCCCTCCACCTTGGGCAAAACACACAATTGGAATCTTCCCACCATAATTAGATTCTGTGAAACGAAGGACAAGGGTTAAATCTATTAATGCAGAACAACTTCTCTTTCCTGAGTACAGTGAAAGAATTTCCAAGCAGTTCATGCAAAAACTAGTTTGACGTTGATTTTGCCACAGTTATTAACAACTTTTCCTGTTTTTAAGGAAAACTCAGTTTTGACTAACATTCTGCATAGCTGGCTTCAGACACACTTCTCCAACAGAAGCTTTTTCCTGCTAGAAATCAAAATTTTTTCCTCCAAAACTTGATTTTATTGTATTTTCCTGCTGCTTTGACCATTTTGAGTCTCAGTGAAAGGCGAGCTCAGAGGATTGTATCTTGAACTTGTGATAAGAACATTTTCAGTTGTAAAGGAAAGCTAAGAATCCCGTAACTCTAGGAGCTACTGTTTGAGAGACATTCCAAAAAAACCCCAACCCCAAACAACAACCCCCCCCCCCCCAAAAAAAAACCACTCTTTAACTAAGAATTTCCTGCCAAGGCCTTTGATTTTTTTTTTTGTTTGTTTCATTTTGGTAAAGAGGGGGGTGAAAGACAAATTCTTTAGGAGCAGGTTGCAGATGATTTAATCACCCTCACACGTAAACATTTTGGGAAAAGCCTAATTTCAGCTCCTGCGTAGTTGTTCTTCAGCTACCCAGAATTCAGTGCCAGGTGGGATGTGTGTAGAAGGGTCAGCTTCCAACAGGAGGTGAGGGAAGGGTTGTGTGGCTGGAATGGAGCATTTGTTGTGACATCAAGAAAGCAATATGAGGGGGAGGTGTTGCTCTGAAAAGGTCTGGCAGCTCCTGAGAGCACTCAAGATGGAACACAGCGCACACACACACATCCCTTCCAGCTCAACATCCACAGGATGCTGCCACCGCTTTGTCATTCCCAGGAAATCGCCGTGCATCCCCCCCCCCAGCATGCAAAGATGAGCAGGAGGAGGTGTGCACCCCAGCCCCCACACGAACCTGGGATAACCCGCTCCGAAATGTACTTTTCCAGCTGGGTCCGTACTTTGGCCTCCGTGGTCGGGTGCCCGTGGGTGCCATTGTCCACCAGCAGGAGATGGGTGTGGTTGTTATCCAGGCAATACAGCGGGTCTCTCTTGAGGTCATCCATGATGTAGTGGGCCAAGTAGTTCCCCTAGGAGCACAAGCACAGTGTTGAGAGAGACCCAGGGACAGGGAACACAGAGACCTCCCAGGACAAGGACACACCTCGCTGGGAGGGTGTGAGGCCCTGGCACAGGTTGCCCAGAGAAGCTGTGGTTGCCCCATCCCTGAAGTGTCCAAGACCAGGCTGGATGGGGCTTGGAGCAACCTGGGTTGGTGGAAGGTTTCTCTGCCCATGGCAGGGCATGGAACAAGATGGGCTTTAAGTCCCTTCCAACCCAAACCATTTTATGATTCTATGACAAGCCATGACAGCTGAACCCCAAGCCACCAGCTATTCCTCAGTAGCTGGGAGCCTGAATTTCCTGACTCAGGACACTGCTCACTGGCAGTACCAACAGCAGCAGAAGGCAGTGAGAGAAACCAGCACAGGAGCACAGCATAAATATTTGCAGAGAAAGTTTTTCTTTACAAGAGCTGCCCGATTTGTGATGATCCTCCCGTAATTCCACCTCAGCCAACAGAACAGTCAAAGTTATTTACAACAGTTTAGTCCCTTCAGAGACCCAGTTAAATTCATGCTTCCTTCAGCCACCAAAAATATTACATCTGTGGCATACTTAGTTTCACAGAATCACAGAATATGTCAAATTGGAAGGGACCCACAAAGATTATCGAGTCCAACTCCTGGCCCTGCACAGGACCATCCCCAAGACTCACATCATTTCAACACCCCACAGAATTTTTTAGGTTGGAAGAGACCCTCCTGAGATCATCTAGTTCAACCCTCGAACATCTTTGGAGCCCTCAACAAACTGATCTGCTGTTATTTATCTAGTAGGATGGTTTTTTAGACATGTTCTGTAATGTCTAGTGGACAAGAGACAAGGGGAGCTATGCAAAGTTGGATGACAGTATCAATGAAGATCCTTAACAACAGCAGCAGCAGGTACAACCTGTCTAGGTCGGTGGGAATCCCCACTCTGGGTGAGTGCATAGGGATTTTCCTGGAGCTAGAATAACCATGGAAGAGGTCATTCCCTAATGCAACACCAGACACAGAATTAGGGCTGCTGAACCTCCACACAGACGTGCTCAAATCTGGCACAGCTGAAATCCTCCCCACCAGGCCTGAGGTGTGTGACTGTCTTGGACACTTCAGTTTTCTCCTGTTCTGAGAAGAGCACCTGATGTTTTGAGGTCAAGCCTCCTCTTTCTTTTCCCACCACCCCATCCACGTGGCACTTGGGGGGACATGGTTAGGTGGTGAATATGGTGGTTGTGCTGGGCTGGTGGTTGGACTTGATAAAAGTCTATTCCACCCTTAACTGCTCCCCGATCCCCGTTCCTTACGTCGCTGTCGGCGGCGCGGATGAGGGTGTCCCGGTTGGAAATCATGCCCCAGGCCGCTATGCCAATGGCCACCACGTTCTCCTCGGAGCTGCGACTGATGGTGTTGTCTCTGACCACCTCCCCAATGTACTTCATCAGCCCGTAGTGAGTGCCCCCGGTGAAAATCCAGGCCCCTGCAACAACACCCAGTGACCCGGGGGAACGCAGGGAAACGCCCGCGCTCCCCCTGCCTTCAGACACAACCACCCAAACCCCTCTTGCGACCTTAGAGGTGGTGCTTGTGTTTCAATTAAACACAAAAGATGTGCTACACGACTCACCTTATGCTACCCCGGGCACCCCACGACTAACTCTCGACCCTGCTACTTCCAAGCTGCGGGGTCACACATGTCCCAAACCCACCAGCCAGGCAGAAGCAAACAGAATGCTCTGCTTTCCTCCTCACCCTTTGAGCTGCTGCCTCTCCGACACTATCCTACAGCCATCGACCACCACGGGCACAAAAGCAGGTCCTTACCCTTGGACTGGGCGATGTAGATCAACCTGCTGAATATCTTGCGCATCCGGGGCTTGAGCGCGAAGTTCTTGGCTCCCCCAGTGACAGAGATGACGAGGTTTGGGGTTTTCAGGTGCCAGTGCTGGGTCATGAGGTCGTAGAGTGTTTCGGAGTCTGTGTCGCACGACAGGCGGATGTACTTGGGTGAGAGGAGAGAGAGAACAAACACAGCAGGATGACCAAATATCCCAGTCCCGGCTGGGGACAGAGCGCGGATCGCGCTTTCTTCTCTTTCTTCTCTGGGCCTCATTCCAACAGGCAGCAGGGGTGAGGTGAAGTGAGGATGAAATCCTTGTTTCCTCCTCCAAAACACCTTAAGCCTTCCCCTGCAACCAGGCACCCAACCCACCTTCCTCTAGAGAAGGCAGAAGCAGTGACCCCGGGGTTCAGAGGAACACTGCAGGGGTGAGCACACCACCAGCATGACAACTCCAACTGTAACAATGCTATTTATAGCTTACGTCACAAATCAGTGCAAGCACCATTGCAAGGGAACTGATAATAATGACAGCTGTGTTTTGATTTAATTTAATGAACTACAAATTCCAGGCTCCATGTGAGATGCCCCTGTCACAACACACACCCATAGCAGTGTTTCAACTATAACACATAACTGTATCAAACATGTAGTACAGCCTGAACTCTGGCTTTGTCCTGCTTTGCTATTCAAGAGCCCCTTCATAATTCCATCACTGGTGGGATGGACTTTTGGCAAACAGTCATGGCTACACAGCCCATATGGGGGATGAAAGGGAGCAGCTCAGACTTGAATCATGGAGGATCTTGTACATCTTGCCCAGTATTTACAGGAGAGCAAAAGCAAAGGATTCATTTGAGGAAGAAAAGTCCCTGAGGTGCTGAACTTGAATGAAAGAACATATGCCTGTGTTCCAGGACAGGTTCCCAGGAGAAGTGAAGGCATTTGGCTCAGAACAGAACAGAGGATGACTGGCAGGCTGCAGCACCTACATAGGAGAGCTAAGGGCCTCCCTCAGCTTCTGCTCTGAGAAGCTTCAGCCACATAAAGCTCTGGGTGTTTTCCAGGAGAGGGTCCCCCCTAGGAGAGTGGAGGCTACCAGTATATAACTGGTGAGCCAGTAAACTACACCCAAGGCAAACCTCATTAGAGCCCCTCGGCTGAGCCACTTCCCTGCTCCACAGTGCAACGGTGCCATCTCCTGGTGCTGCTGGATCCTGCTCCTGACCACGGTCACGATTCAGAGAAGCCTTCTGGGGACTGACAGCTCCCAGAACACAAAACACAGCAACTGTGATGCCCCTGGGTGTTACAGGGTTCGAGCAGCACGGCAGGAACAAGGAGCTCGAAAGCAGGACTTACTGAGGGTAGAGATTTTATAGAATCCCAGGATGGTTTGGGTTGGAAGGGACCTGAAAGCACATCTTGTTCCATGTGCAGGGACACCTTCCACTAGCCCAGGCTGCTCCAAGCCCTGTCCAACCTGGTCTGGGACACTTCCAGGGATGGGGCAGCCACAGCTTCTCTGGGCAACCTGTGCCAGGGCCTCCCCACCCTCCCAGGGAACAATTCCTTCCCACTATCCCATCTAACCCTGCCCTCTGGCACTGGGAAACCATTCCCCCTTGTCCTGTCCCTCCATCCCTTGTCCCCAGTCCCTCTCCAGCTCTCCTGGAGCCCCTTTAGGTCCTGGAAGGGGCTCCAAGATCTCCCTGGAGCCTTCTCTTCTCCAGGTTGAACAATCCCAGCTCTCTCAGCCTGTCCTCAAGCCTGTTTATGGGTCTGTGGACATCTGATTTCTGATCAGAATTTTTTAGGACTCATCTCTCCTAAAAAGCACCAGTCAGGCTATAAAACTTCCCATCCCTCACTGATCATTGACAGCAATTCTTAGGTCACCTTGGGGTTGAAGTTCTGCCCACTGTGCATGAGATCAACAAGAAATACTTTGCAATCTCTAAGAGTAGCAAGTGCCTTGCTAGGTAGGGAATGAAAACAGGGAATGTGACTCCAGCCAACGTGCTGATGGGATGGATTTGGAGACAAAAGCCTTGAACAAAGTATGCTCTGAAACGTGCACAGTGGCCTTGGGAGTCCTCATGAAACAACTGTGGGCACACAAATTGATTTCTGAGGTTGGAAGGGGGGACACAACCTAAGGAAAGAACATTTAAGCTTTGAGAACTCTGAAATACTGCAATAGGGCGACACATTTCTTCTTCCAGTAAAGTCACACAGCAGCTTACAACACATATTGAAACTAAAATATGCATATCAAGAATTGTTTGAAGTGTGATTCAAAACTCTCAGTCTTATTTCCCACTGAAATGACTCCTATTTCTGCTACTTTGCATAAAACAAACCCAATCAATTTACACAGTGGGCTCTGATTTTCCTCATTTATTTTGAGTGTCTCAAGCAAGCTGCACTGGTGGGAAGTATCAGTCTTTTATGAAGCAGATGAGCTCAGCCACATGTGACTCCTCACACAGTATCAGCATAAATCATCACAAACAGCAACACCAGCCCATTTCTCCTTTCCACCCCTCTCACTCCTTTCCACTGTCTCCACTCCAAGCAAAAACGCAGAGGAAAAAAACAGCAATCAGAATAAAACCTCTCAAGCTCCACTGATTTCTTGCATCCCTCCAGAATTTACTGTTACTGCTGGATCTCCCCTGGGAAATACTCCCCATTCAATTGTTTATAGGCCTGAGCAAACTGGTCCATGTGGATGTAAAGTAATACTAGAGCATCACCCTCATTCACCCCTTCTCCTGCCGTGCCCAGCAACAGATAATTTCTTTTCACTCCCATCACCAGCCTAGGCAACAAATAGCATGGAAGAAGTTATTCTTTATTACCTTTTCTCAGGGCTTGAGAAACCAGCTTGTCTCCTTTGCAGCCTAACTTCTTCTGTTAGGCTAAAACCCACTTCACCTTCACCTTCCTTGCTTTCCTGGGGCTTCCACTGGCACCCAACAGTGGCCTCATGGGCACCCCAATACACCCACTTACCTTGCCTCTTTTTCCCAAGTTTTCAAACTGAATGTCCCCAAAGGCATCGGTAGGAAGCTCCTTTGTGTGCTTCTTGTAGTTCCATTTCTCACTGGTGTTAACCTGAGTGCCCTCTATGTGTTGGTTTTCAGGGTATCCACATTTACATAAGTTTCCCCTGAAAAAGAGGGAACGGCCAGGAAATCACAGTTATCCTGAGCACAGAGAAGTGAGCTCTGGCAGCAAGGAAAGCAACAGGCAGAGCTACAGAACCAGTTGTAGCTACTGGGATTTGCCACCTGACAAAGCATCTAATCCTGCTTCCTTCCCCATAGCCTGCTTCTGCCCAGCACTGGGAAGTGGTTGTGCAGGACTAGTTGGGAAAGCTTAGGAGAACTTTTCCTAGGAAAAGCTGCACCGCCATCCGTGAAATGCTCTGCACATCCCTGCTCCCTCGGAGGGCATGGACAAGGGGGCATTGCCTCTCTCCTTCAGAGGCTTCCTCCACTCTGCTGCAAATCAAACCAGCTCACCTTAAAAATACACAGACAAAAATAAACCAGCAAGTTCTGCAACCCTTTCCCTGTGGGCTTGGAGGAAGAGCAGCTGGGAGGAACCAGCTCCTCCATCCTTCCTTGGTCCTTTGCCAGACACCCCATTTTAGGTGGCAGAGGAGGACCCTAAGTAAGACTTTCTGAAATGAGACTAATTTCCCTCACTCTCTCCGAGGCATTTTTCCTCCCAGCTTCAGAGCAGAATGGGGTTAGAGAGCTCTCAGAGCTCTATATTAGGACTTCTGCAGCTGCATTAGTTTGATCACTTTTCTCTTGAGACTACAAAAAAACCAAAAAAACCCCTGAAAGCAACTTTATGGTCCCCAAACTTGCATTGCACAGGTACCTGCAGCTGCAAATGGAGCCAGGATAATATCCTGTCTTAAGAGAACATCAACCTGAGCAAAACCTAGTGAGTGTCTGTCTTTGCTGTAAGGGCTTGTGCACGAAATTTGTGATTTGTCTTTAAAAGGAAAACTTAAAATTATGCAAACCTCTGATACATACATACATTGTTACAGACCAATAGTAGTACTGCATCCTTAAAAAGACCTATACATTGCTACAGTTATGCTTCAAATAGGGTATCTGATATTAAACCCTGTGACAAAGCTGCTGGAAGGTCAGACCCATAGTTTTGTATCAAGTTGTTTATGGAGTAAGGATACCAGAGGAACCAGACCAAGGTGTGGTTGCACTGCTGAATTCACTGTTCAACAAAAAAAAAGGCAGCAGTTTACTCCCTGCCTTAGAAGACAGAGACACCCTCAGCTCCCGGCCCCCCAGCCTTGCAAAACAATTGAAAAGTACCTCCTTACATTGACTTGGAGTCTTTTGTAAAAAAGACACATTCTCTCTTCTTAAAGTTTTCTTGGATGAAGTTGGCCAAATCCTGGAAAATAATTTTTAAAAGTTTCTTTCTGATAACTCGCAAAACACAAGAAACCTCAGTAGCAGCACAGTCAGTTTAAACCAAGATACTACTTAAAACAGAACAGCAAACACTGGTTCTTCCCAAGAGTAAAAAAATTAAAGAAAAAAAAAAGAAAGACAACGTTTTCCAGGGTAGAGGTTATTTTAATTCAACACATTAAGACCCCCAAAGGAGACCTGAACAACTTCAAGTCATGCTTTATGGGAGCTCAATGGAATACAAAGCCTCTCCATCTTGTTTAACCAGTAACTCTCCCATTAACCTTGAAACTCCAGGAGCCCAGGGGAAGCTTCACACTTGGGGAATGCAAATTCATCCCTAACCTACCTCTGCAAGCTACCAAAGCAAAGAGAAATTCTCACTTGCTGATAAAGGCTTGGGGGTTGTTTGTTTTCAGGCACTGCTTGGATTTGCAAGGTAAGATTTAGCTCAGGACAAAGAGGGAAGACACGAAGCTACAGTTCAGTTTACCAATTTGAGACACAACACTTGTGGGTAAACAGCAACTGGAGGAAGCAATTCCAAGTGGAAAAAACATGAGAAGTATAATATCCAAAACCGAAGAAAATTGAAAGGAACTTATTTAACCAGTAGAAGTCACAACGGTGCAAGACCAAAAAGATAAAAGGGAGGGGAAGGCACTTGCTAAAGCCCCAAGAACCAGTCATTAGGCTTCTTGCAAGCCGGTCAGGAGCAGGGAATCTGTCAGACAATTGCTGCCATCAGCAAATCATTCAGGCATAAAGGGGTGTTTAAGGTAATTCTGTGTTGTCTGCCTTGGCTGCAACAGGAGGTCGGCGTGGTTCTTTGGACAGATTTGTCTCTCTGAAACACGAGAAAAGATTTAAAACCAGGAAGGACTAAGGATGTACAATAAAGAGTTACAGGGATCAAAAGGAATGCAGTACCTCCTTAAGAGATTCACCATGCCAGCAAAATCACTGCTCCTGCTCCAAGGGCACTGGCTGGGAAAACCTCTCCACAAAGGGAGAAGTGACAAACCCATGGTCCTGCTCCCGACACGACCCAAGTCACAGCGTCCCACTCCCAGGACAGCAGAGGTCCCAGGTACTCACGGCATCGCTGCAGGCCACGTCTATGCTGCGGGACATGCTGGAATACAGGAGCCTGGAATTCTCGAAATTGCCATTTCTCCGGTGCCTCATGGTGCCCATGGAAACCCGGAGGAGCACAGCACGGCAGAGGGGGGAACAGAGGAGCAGATTTCTATCACCAGACACCGGTAAGGACACTTGGTGTCCTGGGAAGGCAAGGCAGAGGTTATTTCAACCCAGTATACAGAATTAGACAATCCTTAAAACACAAAACATTCCAAACCAATCTTTTCTGTTATTTCATACCTCAGAGAGACTTCCTTCTTTCTTTCCCCACTCCAAAAGAACACCGAGGCAACATCCTTTGAGAGAGGAACACACCTTACATGCCACCCCACTCAATTCATGCCCAAATCTCAACTCTGTCTCTGATGGGACGCTCAGGACTTGGCTGTTCAGGGCTCATGCACCTGAGTAGTACCTAACCCAGTGTATTTACAAATGAGAGGGGATTTTCGGGTACATTTGGAGTACAAAGACAACAAACTGCAGTGTTGAAGCACCTGGCCCAGCAGTGACCCAGGAGCTTCCAGCAGCACCTGAGCAGCAATCCCACAGGTCTGTCCAGCCTGGAACAACCACAGTCAACACGTGCAGTCCTGAGTGGACTGGATATTGGATCCAAGAGTTAGGAAGTCATCCTTGGGAGCAAATTGATTTCAGGTGCCCTCTAAAACACATCCCTGTATTAAACTCACCGTCTTTGAAGGAGCATCACTGCACTTGCAGCAAAGCACAGAACAAGGCTGTACTTATTCTACTGCAAATACTTCCATTCCCTTCATGTTGCTTTCTGAATAATACTGGAAAAAGCCTTTTCCTGAAAGGAAAGCTGCCAGCCAGCTTACATGGAGAACTCAAAGTCCACCCGTCCTTTCAACACTGTTTTCTCTCCTGCCTTTACCTCTGGCTGTGTGCTCTGGGGTGATCCTGCCACTGCATGGCACAAAGCATCCCTCCCAGACACAGAAATACTCGTCCTGCCGCCCTGCTGAGCCATCCTCCTGTAAACACGTAACTTCTGAGACCCAAGAACCAGCAAGTGTGAAACAATTTCCTTAGGGGACCTGACACAGCGGGAATGGCCCAGGCTGTGGAAGCTGCAGTTGTAAATAAGATGACAGCAGTGTGACGTGGGCAATCCCCAAAGCAGAAAGAAAAGGCAAGATTCCACAAAACGACATATATTTATATTTTACAGGTATTTTAAAAATCCTTTGAAAATCACGTTGTGCTGAGGGGGAGCATGACTGACTCGTTCTTTACTGTGCATGGTAGAAGCCCTCACCTACTTCCCCCAAATTCTGCAGCATGCCTGGGATCTCCACCACTGCTAAGTGATGGGAAAAAACCCTCTTCTTCCTTCCCAGCTTCTGCACAGGATAGGAGTGATTTAAACCCAAGAAAAGGCAAAAGATTGAAAGCGAAGAGATGGATGGCTGGGCCCAGAGAGGCTCCAACCTGGCAATGAAGCATCGTGGAGACAAAGACGTGGAAAAAAACACCTTGTCAGGCACAGCTTGCAAGAAACCCCAGGAAACTGGGACTTGGCAGCTGATAAGGATGGAAACCTGAGATTGGAGGATACTGGCAACTGTGCACTGGGAGACGTATTTCCTAATAACCCAGAAAGCAATTCTTATAATTTCATATGATTAATGTTCAGCGTAAAGATGTTTTCAAAGCTGTAATTCCAGATAAAAGCTCCGTGGAGGGAAATTACGTTTTGGTCCTGATCTATGCAACTTATTTATTGACAGTTTTACTTGCGTTGTTGGTTTGTTTAATAAGTTTAACACCAGGAAACTGGCTACGGACATAACCGTACAGAGAAGATTAAAAGGAAAGGGTATTAAATTATTAACTCCAAAGACTACAGGATTTCGAGTTTGCCTCGCTGCAGAATTGATAAGAATGAACATGCTGCAAATAAAAAAGTGTGAGATGGCAAAGGAGCCCTGAAAACGTGGGATTTAATTTTAAATTCAAGTTCTGAAGAGCATCACTGATAGCTCAGTGTTTGGCTGGTATCAGCGAGCAACGCCCATTAACCCCACAAGTGTTAGAGATAACACAGCAATTACACACATCTTAAAAGACGTGACACAGCTGCAGCCCACAGAACAGTCAAACAGTTCATTTTCTATCGCATTTCCAACCCACTGAATTAAATATATAAGATATTTAACGCATTAAACCATAACTTTATAACGCATATTGAGAGTAATAGCCACTAGATAAACACTAGAATAATCTTCTAAAACATAAAGGCTAATACTATGACTTCCACAGCACTTGAAGGAGCATATTCCAAGGAAATCTTCAGCTTGGAGGTGACTAAAAAGAAAGAGAAGTAACAAAAAATAGCTAGTTCTAAAGAGACTTTTAAATAGGTTTTAAAAACTTGTCCGCAACTGAAAAAGCAACACCAGCCTCCATTCCCAGGCAGCTTCCAGATAAATGGAAGCACTATTTGCGTTTAACATAATCCCACAACTGGCTTTGTGTGAAAGCTCTCAGAAAGCAGAGGATGTTGCCAAACTCCAGCTGCAGCGCTACCCCAAATCCAGCAAATTCAAAGTCTCTACTCATAAGGACAGAAAACAAATCAGTGTCTAATCACGCACCACAGACTTACCAAAGTCTCCAGGACATGCCCCAGCAATCCTGCTGCAGTCATGGCTCCAGGAGGCAGGTTTTGATATACTTCAGCTGGCAAAGCCCCACCTTTATCTGTGTCACGCCCTCCTTTTGAGGGAGGGAGGGACCGGCGGCAAGGAACGGCAGGGTTGCTCACCAATTAGTAACAGAAACCGCCTAATTGCAGGCTGCAGGAGATGAGAGCTGCAGGTTATTTGTGAGAGCAGCAGTGCTGCTGTCCTACCTGCTGCCCATGCACTGCAGCTCCATGTCAGCAACAGCACTACTAAAAAGCCAGAGGAATAAGAAAATGCTTGGGGGAATAAAGAATTAGATTTTAAGGCAGCAGAAGATAGTGGAGGGCTTGTAAAATCAACACCCATTAATCTAATTTTCTACAGGGTTGTTGAAGCACTGGTGAATGCAACAGAGGATTCTACAAGTGATGCTTTGACCCCAAAAAATATTAGTCAGTGTCTTAATTTCCTGTTTGACACTCAGCTGGTTTTCTCCCGCCCTTAAGTTAAAGCTTTTCACTTTGGTAAGAGCAATTCCTATTGCAGTGATATTCAGTGAGTCCTTGGAGAGACTGATTATCCCCAGTCCACTCCCCTTTCAGAAAGCAGAGCTATACCATGTGCTGCTGGAGAACCTTCTACAGCCCCGTTTGAACCACCCAGTTTGAACCCACTTTAGGCCAGGCTGGACAGGGCTTGGACCAACCTGGGCTAGTGGAAGGTGTCCTTGCCCATGGCAGGGGGTGGGACTGGGTGATGTTTAAGATTCCCTCCAACCAAAACCACTCCTAGATTCTAAGTCTCAGAGTGACCTTTCCTTCTGTGACAGTGTAGCTTTATTATCCCAAATCTCACATTACCTTGCCATATACACATGAGTTATCACTTAGGGGCTTCACTTCACACGGCAGCATCCAAGAGCTCCCCTACCACCTGGGGGTATCAGCCCAAAGTTCACATCCAGGTGATCCACTGCCCCTAAGAAATGCACAGAAAACACGGATACCCAAGACAAGCAGCTAAACCTGAGAGGGAGCTAAATGGCTCCTGTGCATCCTCTGGCCCCCCGTTTCCCAAGAGCAGAGTTTTCATGGACAGCAGCATGTTCCTGTCCATGTGGTCATGCATCAACATCCCTGAAGTGCTGGACGTGAATCTTGACACCTGCAGCAAGTCCCTCAGCAGCTGTCCTGGGAACCAGCCCGATAACAGATCGCAAGAAAAGAAACTACCGAGTGCAGGGATGGGGAACTCAATGATCCTCTTAAAACCATAGCTGCAGAGCTGGGGAACAGCCCTTCTGCCTGGTCCTCTCAGGCAGAGCAGGCCTGGAGAGCAGACAGATTTTTGGGGCCACTTAATTGTTCTCAAGTGCAGCATATCCCCACGTACCTCAAGCGAGAAACCGGGCACGCCAAGCACAATTCAGAAACGCTCTCTGAACGTGTCAGGAAGTTTTTAGGGCCAAGATAATCAATATTTTCCAAAGACAGGAGCTCCTCCATGGGCAATAATTCACACTTGCCAACATTCCTGCATTCTTGGTCTGAGAATACCTATACAGATATTCCAAAGCTACAGTACTATGCTAATATTTGCTGTATTCGAGCAAATCAGGTCCGACTGCAGCAGAGAGATTTCAGTGAGAATCTGCCAAACTGCACAGCATTTCCTGTCTTCTCTAATTCACAGAAGTTATATTACTCTGGTTTTGGACTAAAAAGAGGTATTTGTGAACAATCAAATGGAGTTGTTATGGATCCTGGCCCCAGAGCTGATTCTGTGATGAGTGAAGTAAAAGCTGTCATCCTCAGCATCAGCACTGTTGTTATTGATGCAGGAATCAAAATGGAGCAAGCACTTTTATTACAAAGAAATGGAAATTCATGTAGATATAAAAGCATTTTCCATTGTACTGAGAGCAGAGAAGAAACTGTAAGGAAGAAAGATGCTTCTGCATGTGAATAAACCTTATGATCTTTTTTTAAAAAGCATAAAGCCAGAAAACAGATTTAAGGAAAATGGTGCCTGAAGAGCTACAGAGATTTGAATCCTGCTGCCCTCACTGTGTAGAAAAATAGGTCCAATAGGATTTAATTCCACGGCTTGTAGAAAATCACCTTTTATCCCAGGACCTGTGAGAGCTTGAGAGGGGTTTTTTGTGGGTGAAGGCAGAATTGATGGTGCCCCTGTGAAGTTAAATGATATCGCACAATTCCAAGGTGGTTTGGGTTGGAAGGCACCTTAAAGATCATCCAGTTCCACCCCCTACCATGGGCAGGGACACCTTCCACTAGCTCAGGTTGCTCCAACCTGGCCTTGGACACTTCCAGGGATGGGGCAACCACAGCTTCTCTGGGCAACCTGTGCCAGGGCCTCCCCACCCTCCCAGGGAACAATTCCTTCCCAATATCAAACCTAAATCTCTCCTATTTTAGTTTAAAATCATTTCCCCTTGTCCTTTCACTCTCTGCCTTTGTAATACATAT